AAAACTTGAAAAAAGACTTAACCTCTCTAAAGTGGACACCTCTGTATAGTGGACACTTTTGGGAAGTCCAGAAGGTGTCCACTATACAGAGGTTCCACTGTAATACTGTTCTCAATTTTGTTTCCAATCAAATTACCGGTGAATTTATTCACGACTTTTGACGGCTTCCCTAAGCTAATATCAACCTAAAACAAGAAATGTTACATTCTTAACTCCTGCACGTGATTTAATAATAAACACTAACTCATGTACTCATTACCCTGTGTGATCTACTGTTTCCTCTTGACACTCAGAAGGCTGAAAAGGGTTTTTTCTCTTTTTTCAACCGAATGTAATACCGACCTACCACATTAAACTTTTTCAAAAACGATTCCGAACTATGTTACCAATCTGCCAAAAACACGCTCTTCCAGTCGGAAGTACAAACAAACACTAAGCGATATCCAGAAAGAATTTGAAATTTACATATCTTTCGACTTACAGTTTATTGGTCTTCTTCTTTGTTAATTCTGTTCATTTTGTAATGGTGACTGCTTCTTTCTCTTTCGTAAATGCCATTGACGGTTTACAACTCGTCTAGGATGAGAAAGAAATCAACTACGTACTTGCTCTCCTGTGATACTGATGACGACGAAGATGAACTGAGATGAGTGAGAGCAATTCAGTTATTTAAAATAAATTCTGAGCAGGAAAAATAAGAGAAAACAAGATTTTTTCGAGAGATTGTGTCGAAAAAGAATAGTAACATCGTTGAGAAAAACCAGTGTCATGGCTCTTATGCTATTTATCAGAGTTTGTGATGTATTGTGTTTCACTTCTCTAAGTAAACCAAATGTATCTCTAAAAATTTTGTATTTTTTCTTCGTCTTCTTCACTTGAAACTTTCTATAGAGATGAGAAAACTTCCGCAAGGTAAACATTTTTTTCTAAATTATCTAAGGAAAAATCATATTTTTATTAGATTAATTGTTCTGTCAGATTCTATCTCACGTCGTCTCGACTTTTTCTTTTCTTTTTTCCATTCTAATCAACTAAGCCCCGCGGTAAAGGGTTGCTTAGAGCTAAGAATCAGAATGAATCAGTTCCATATCTTTGTGGTATCTAATATCTCCCTTCAGTCATCTTTTCATTTTTTTTATTGTCTGATTTTTTGCTTTTTGTTTTTTGTATCTATTTTAGTACTCTTTATCTCTTTTTCTCTATCCTCTCTGCTGACAAATATGCTTATAATGAGTATCGTACTTGATAGTAGTCATGTCTTTTCTCTTCGACAATATAAAATTTAAAACAAAAAGAAACAGGTGAAAGAATGAGTAAATACATGGGTGTTGTTTGAACTATGTGACGAATATCAGTCAGAACATGTTTAATTCAAGGTGGCTAATATATATTGTACATTTTAAAGTTCTAATGATAATGAATTTCAAAAAAATACAGTAGAAAAATTTAATAAACTGACACTAGATGCTATAAAAAAATTGTAAAGAAAGATGAGTAAATGACAAAAAATTCACATGAAATCATTCAACATCTATGAATGACATCTATTTCGCGTCAAAAACAGTAATTTCCGTGTGTACAAGTTGTTTTGTCCCGTAAGTTTTTGAGACATTTTTTCTGTTGTGATACACCGTAACCGTTACAAGAGACGTTTAAAGTCTCAAACTTATTTTTGCAAAAAAATCTGCATGGCTGAATTTAAGCCTGATTTATTTGATTCTAAACTTAAACGTTTCTGTATAAAAAAACGTTTTTCATCCACTCACTACTCAGAATCGAAAGGAAAGAACTGTAAACCTAGTTGAAGATATGAAATAACTTCTCAAGTTTAAATCCATACTATTTCGCCTCTCCAGACGGAAAGGCACTGTTACGGTTTTGACTTGATAGTTTCATGTTGATTGCAGCTGATTTTATACTTTTATTCTACAAAACTTGATATTTCGATAAATCCTAAAACCGTTTTTTCTCATTCTACGCGTTAGACACTCAGCTACATACTGGTGATCAACTTTTTGGAAACGGTTCAAGAACAACATCATGATAATAAAATTATTATGTTTCCAGATTTTTATTATTTCTATTAGAAGAAACCGCTCTATAAGTCATGTATAGGCATATTAAAAAAGAAAGACGGCAACAGATGAAAACAATTCTCGATTCATTCACTATAATTATTTCATAAAGCATACCCTAATAGACCTTCATTTGTAGCCCCTTCACATTTCGAGTCAGGTGAAATAAAATAATCTGAATCTTTTCTACATCGATATACTGGTGATGTATTGTCTTTTTTATCATTATAAATATAGCCAAGTGGTCCGAGTGCATCTTGTTTCTCACAGTTTTGATTAACACTTGGAAAATTTCGCATATCACCTGTTCGTTGACACTCAAATATTAATTTTGTACCTGGTTGCTGTTCACGAAATAATTTCCATTGACGTTCTAATTTATAACCATTTGGTAATATTCTTGTTGTTGTCCAATGTCCATTTGTCGGATGATTCGCTCGTTTTAAACTAACATATGGTAATAATTCAAATCCACACGATAATTTTCCAACATCATAACGATTAACTAATGCCCACAATGACCATGCACGTTTATATTGTCCTTGATCAGTGACTAAACCTAAACCAAGTCCGTCTTTTGTCTCACCTGGATGATCTTTTAATCGATGATAAATGAATAATTCAATATTTGGTGTAGCAAGAATATTTTGAAATGCTTTACATAATTGATCATGTTGTTTATTTTCATCGGAATGAGGTTTTAATGAATTGATACCATTTTCTGTTAAATACACTTTCCAAGTTGATGGTTTATTTGGAAATGTTTGCATTAACCATCCAACTAATCTATTAACATTTCCAAATGTAATTTTTGGCCAATCATTTGTATCAAATTCTGCTCTTAATAGAGAAGGAGGATAAGAATGAAATGCCACCGACCAGTCTCGATTACCAATTTGTGATGCAAATTTTGTCAAAAATGTACGGCCAGACATGAACTAAAAGAAAAAATTATGTCAGAATTTAGGGGGTGGATCGTTACCCGTTACCAGTAAAGGGTAACGGTTCAAGCGTTACCGTGACTGTTACGGTTAAATCAAATGAATAACTTTCAAGTTTGCTTAATACGAATTCTGACTTAAAATGTTAACTGCAAGCATTATTCTTATATATAATTCATAATTCTTTTAATACTATTAAAACATACAAATCTCATTTTTCAGCATCTTTTTCAAAGTCGAGTTATAGGTTTCCCAAAAATCCCTGGATTTTCAGGTATTTTCCATTTTCCTCGGTCTAGGAGTACTTATATTACAAAAATAATATAATATTCGGAATCAGTATGATAAACTGCATCGATAAATGTGAATATGAAGTTTATCTGAACAAAAAATATTGCGATCCAATGTAATGCGACGGTTTTAGCGAATAAACACAGCAGTTTTGACTTGGCACATGGACATGCGTTAGGAAAGTAGCATGAAAGCTTCTAAACGCTCTTTTAATAGGTTTTCGTACGTACTCTTTTCAGTGGTATGGTTATCAAACTTTTAAAGTGTGTTTTTACGGGTTTTCCAGAAATCCGGTCTTTAGAAAACGAGTGCAACATACTTTGGAAGGTTAAAAACCACGCCATTGAAAAGAGCACATACGAAAATCTATGTAAAAGAGTGTCTAGAGGCTCGTGCTACTTTTCCACCACATGTCCATGTGCCAAGTCAAAATTATCTACTGTGTTTGATAGGCAAATACAGTCCAACTGTTACTCGTTCTCGGTAATGGTAACGCTTGAATCGTTATTCTTTACCAGTAACGCAAATTCGCTACAGTAAAGAGTAATGGTCCACCCCGTAGTCGAAATAACGAAAGAAAATTTTTATTTCGGTTCACTCTTACCGGACTTGCAGCACTAACATATTTATCAAATATACTGTCAAAATGGTGTTCTAGTGAGATGAGCACGGGTGCTTGAGGTTGATGTTTTTTAATTTGATCATATGCACTTGAATAAACTTGACTATAATGTTTCACCCAGTGATCAATGTCACATGTTTTTCCATTGCCACAGCCAACATTATACCATTCAGCAGCATTTACTTCATTCATAATAACAAATTCTACAATTCGTCCAACATTATTTTTACCATTCGATTGTTCATTTATTACTTAATCATTCCATTACTGAGTTGTAATATGGATAAAAATAAAATTTTTTTCCTTGAAATATTTTATCGTGATCTCCTTTCTATTGTATTATGTCATTAACGATTGACCTTAATTATATCTTGATGCTAAGAATCCGGCAAATCTTCCAAATACTTTTGAATCATCCGGTGCACAAAAATTTTGATTAGCCTGTTTACAATTGGTGTTCTTTTTTCGAGCCCATGCTGGAGGTACAATTAAAATTCCTGTTATCATGAATTGTTTATCACTATACATTTTTATTTTAGCATCCAACGCTGGAATGAAACAATAACCATCATATTCTACTTCACCACTTGAACATGGTGCTTTCTTTTCATAAGGTTGAAATGCTGACCTACAAAAACATTCATATGAAAATATATAAAATTATTTTGGAATGAACTTATCATGGACAATTTGTGGCAACTCCTCCCACACCATTTCCAGTTAAATCTTCAATTTTCCAGTCATCGGGTTGAATCGCTTTAATACCGTAGAACGATCGTTTTGGATAAATATTTGGATTATTCAATTCGGATTGAGGAGGTCGATAATATTTTTGATTGATTAATGCTAATATAGTAGTAGCACAGAAACACAGAACTAAAACCAATCGAAACATGCTGAATCAATTTTTAGCTTCAGAAAATAAAAGTTACTGTATTTATCGTTCTATCACGAAATAATTCGTTAATTAATTTTTTTCAATTCGTTTTAAAACATGATATGATTGACAAAGCTTTTAAGCTTTTATAAATGATATTTATCTCTCGTTCCATCTTCACTATCTTTAGTGATCAACTGTAAATGCTTAAAAACTCTGTTAATCATATCATATTTTAAAACGAATTGAAAAAAATTAATTAATGACTTATTTTGTGATAAAATGATAAATACAATAACCTTTATTTTCTGAAAATAAAAATTAATTCAACATGTGTCGATTGGTGTTAGAACTGTGTTTCTTTGCTACTACTAATCCAGAAAAAACGGGTCACTTTTCTTCGTTGTTTTTGAGGATGAGCCCAGTAGTTCAGAGAGTTCGTTTTCAGCCCAATCCATAGAAAATTGAATTATTTACAAAACCTGCTATTTGAATCTCTAGCAACTTCCTCGTTTGACCACCATGAAAATATTAAATGGTGCTGAGTTGTCGCACTGCGACACACTGAAAATAGAAAAATATTGCCTTGATCCAAAGATAGATTCCGTAAGAGTTTTGAAAATATCAGAAGTGTCCTCGGAAAATTCTGCACCTTCGCACATATTTTTCGAAATTTTGTGGTTAAATCTAGTGGAAGAATTTCTCTGTGCAAAAACTGATAAATCCAACAAACCTAACTTTTGAACCTATTTTTCACAGACTTTAGTTTTTTGTCTATAAAAGCAGTAAAACTTTCTGAATCCAGGGTTTTACTCTTATTATCTTAGACAAACTTAAATTTTTGATATATAAACAAAGTTTCTGAATGGAAATGATTAATTAAAAAAATTAACCTGGTTTCCAAAGATTGAAAAGCTGGTTGAGACTTAATTATGAGTCTAGCTTACGTAGCGGAAACATTATATGAAGTTGTAAATGAGTAAGATCGATAGAGCACAAAATTTTCTATCTTTCTGCGTAGAAAAATTAACCATTGAACCACAGACAATGGGCTAAAAATCAAAAGAAAAGAGACGATAAAAGCACATTGCAATTCGACAACACAGCACCATTTAATATTTTGAATGGTGGTCAACGAGAAAAATGCTATCAGAGATTCAGGTTTTGTAGATAATTTAAATCTTTATCGATTGAGCCTAAAACAAACTGCGCAATTTTAATTCTCTACAAGATTGATGTTGACTAAATTTTGCAGTAATGAAATTCTAAATTACTAGAGATCAAACACTTCGATGAAATCAAGTTCAAGCACTTCCCATTGATTCTCAGAATGTTTTGCAAATTTTTTTCTGTACTAACGACAAATACTGAGAAGATCAGATATTCATTTTTCGATAGTGCATCAACAGCTCTTTCAAAGATATATAATATCTTTTCGATCCAGTATCTGTTGTCGTAGCAAAAATTCTTTTATTTAATTTTAATCATGAAAATCGCTCCTCCGCAGCAGTTAACGATTTCCTAACTCTATAAAATGTTCGTTTACTGTTTTTGTGGCAGGAAGAAAGGCAAATCGTTTTTGTATAAAACTTAATATTAATGATCGTTTCTGAGCTATAAACGGCTGTCTCATAATGCTTTTTCTGAAGACAACGCTGGAAGCGGAAAATCGCGCTATTTTTCGAAATATGACGTTTAGAAAAATGTCATTCAACGAGTAGAAAGTAGCTTGGAAAATATCTAAGTAAATGCTATCAGTAGACATTTTTAAGGCCTATCTATTGGTGAATCGTATTTTCTGAGCCCGATATTTCTTGGGATTCTACTCAGGAACAATTCTAAAATTCAGTTGGTTGAACTTGATTCCATCGAAGTGTTTGATCTCCGGAAATTTAGAATTTCATTACTGCAAAATTTAGTCAACATCAATTTGAGAATTAAATTGCAGATCTTTTGAAAACAGATTGAATAATCTCTGCTGTATCTAGGCTGAAATATTCGAAAAACCTAAGATATTGGAAAACTTCTGTGACATCCGGTAACAGCAGTTGATATAAAATATTCACGATAATAAAAATGCGTTGTTAAAAGACTTCTAAATGATAATCGATAACGTATGCTACTACAAGAGAAACCCGAAGATTATGTTGAAATGGATTTAGAGACATGGAAAACGAACTGAATGATATCGAAAATAGGATGAACAATACTAAAAATATTTATATTGGAAATGATGAGTTGTCTGCAATTAGTTTAATCAAAATTAACTTCTTTTCAATATAATGGACCTAACCAAACAGTAAAAATTGTCCCATCCACCGGCCTCTTCAACTGGAGTATAAAAATGTGTAACTTTTGATTTTAAATAAATTTCTAAGGGCAGAAGTGCTACTATCTCTCCTATTCTGAAATCTCTTCCTTATTGAACTCGCCGTGTGTCAGCATCTGTCAACAATGGACTCGTAAGAACAGACACCATTACACAACTAAAATTACAGTGGTCAATTTACCGTATCATCAACGAGATTGATGCCAAGATCCTACAAGGGCTACCTTGAAAATATCAGATATATAGAACATATATTGAAAGTTTTAGGATTTGATTTAATTCATAATAAGAATTCGCTACCTGTGCCTTATATTCTAAACAAAATTTAGTCAGTAGATACTTTGGATTATTATTGTCATGCTCATCATAATCTGTAGCTACCGAATGCGCCAAAATGATTGCAATGTTCTTTATTTTGCATATATCTCAGTCTAGAAGTGTGATAAAACTTTAATTTCTTTTTTAGAAGATGCGCCATTTAATTCTCTACAAAAGACATATTGAACATCTTTCTTTGAACATTTTCTTTTCATTTGTTGTTTATTACCATCTCACATTTTTCTTTATCACCTAAAGTATCTACTTTACATGTATGCGCACATATTTTTATTCAAGTTTATTCACCCTTTCTATCTTACTTGAAGCATTAGAATAAATAAAGTAGATACTTTAGGTGATAAAGAAAAATGTGAGATGGTAATAAACAACAAAGTCAGTTTGGAGTAAAATTTTGGGATATATATATGCAAGAGAAAAAGGCTTACTGCTTATGACAGTTGGAAACAAATGATAAGGCACAAGAAAAATCCCTTATTTTATAACTTTCGGCAATCATCAGATATAAGTCTGATATTTTTATGGTCCATAGCTATTAGGTTTTAAGAGTTTTTGAGAAGAAAAAAGGAGAAGGCAGAGACATTCAAGGGTCTAATACCATTCTTAACAAAAAACATGAGCATTTGTAGGTCCAAGGCTAACATCCAAAAGGACTGCTCCTCGGACTGCCGATCTCAATATCTGATATACACACCCAAAAACCCGAAGTTTTTTGACATAATTTCTATACCTAATATCTTAAACTACTTGCTTAATCCTTAGGTAACCCGGATCATTTTTATCAGTAGCAACCAGACAAATTCCTCCATCTCTTTTACTCATTCTTGGAAGCTAATTATCATCATTGACGCCCTTTCAGCTGCCAGTTCGTTCGCTCTGCTCCTCCTCTTCTCTCTTCTCTTTCATCATCTACTCCATCTGCGTACATCTTTCTACAAATACTCTGATCATTCTTGATCCTCTTCCTCATTCGGCAGCTACATGCTTGCAACCGCCTGCAGATAATCGATGGTAAGTATTCAGGAAAAGCCACACATACTGTAACAAGACAGTTGTCCAGGATATCTAAAAACGAAGGAGGCAGTTTTTATTTGGATAAAGCAGAGTCGAGTTTACAATTATTATGTTTTTTGTTCCATTTATCTCATCATTTTTTCATTCTATTATAACTTGGTGAAGAAGTAGAGTACGATGTATCAGATAATGACTAATCACCACATAACTTCAGTTAAGTTTGAAAAGATGATGTACAAAATACAAAACCGGCCTCAATTATTCGTCTTTTCCAATAAAAAAGTGTTCACGATAATGTTGCTGTATCAATAAACGTGTAGGCTTTGCTTCTCAGTTTGTATTTAGCAGAAAAAAACAAAGACAAGTTCGTCGACATCACAAGTCTTATTACATACCATTTACGGAGTTGCTTAAAGAAGTTTATCTCTCCCTGAAGTGAAAGGTTATTTATCAAATGCAAGCAAATCAGATTCCACAATTCTAACCGATTTGAGCAGCGGAACGTTTTGTCAGGAAAGCCCGCTATTTAAAGATCCAAACAGCTTAAAAATCATTTTGCACTATGACGATCCGGGAATTACAAATCCATTAGGATCTAAAGATAAATCGGTTTGTATGTTTTATTGGACGTTAGCAAACTTACCAAGGTTAGCCCTCGCTGAATGTGTGCTTTTAAGCTTATGGATGATAGAGTTTCTCTGTGCTAGGTATGTACGTAGCCAGGATCGCTGTATGTTTCTTCTGGCCAGTGTTGAAAAACATCTGGTTAGACAATATGGGTATGCGACTGTGTTGGCTGACTTCTTTGATTCGATAAACAATTTACAAGAAAATGGAATTACACTCACGGTTGAGAACAAACAAGAAACTTATGACGGTTCATTATTTATGGTCTGCGGAGATCTTTTAGGTAAGTATGATTGAACTAACGTACGTATATTGAACTAACAAAACTGACACTATTTCGTTCAGGAATGACACAACTACAAGGTTTCAAATCAGGATTCAAAAATGGTTTGAAACCGTATTTCGTTTGCAATACGTCAAGAGTAGGTATGCATCGGTATCGGTATTCATACCGAAATACCGATACCGAAAATACCGAACTCCGGTATATACCGATAATGAAAATACCGACTTTTTTCACTTGAAATTTTTGGATTTTTTCATTTGAAATGAGATGTTTTAGCGTCCTGGACACCCAAAATGAATCAGAGACGGAAAACAAGAGCTTTGTTTGCTTTCTAAAGCCAAAGTTTTTCTTTTTTTCTATCTGCACATGCTCAAAATACACAGCTGAGTGTTGTTTATACGTTCGCTTGTTCAGGATGCTAAAATGCCTCACTTCAAGTGAAAAAATCCAAAAAATTCCAAGTAAAAAAAAGTCGGTATTTTCGGTATCGGTATATACCGGAGTTCGGTATTTCCGGTATTCGGTATACCGATGCATACCTAGTCAAGAGACGGATTACGAATTGTATCGAAGCCGGGCATCTGTAAACAACGAACAATGAAACAATACGTGACGCAATGTTTACAGATAGAAAAAGCTGACGGAGGAAAAAAGGCAGCGTTACAAAAGAAATTTGGAATTGTATCAAGATCATCATTTACAAAAATTCATGATTTTGATATACTCCAACAAACTACCATAGATGTGATGCACATCTTGTTGGAAGGTATGTCGTTTAGAAAACGAAACCTTTTCATCTTCTTTTCTCTTTCCAGGAATTTGCCCAAAGCAGCTGAAATTATTATTTAAAGAAATTCACAGATTAAAATATTGTTCATTAGCATTATTATCTATGACGATTAGAACGTTTCCATTTCCGGCTGGTGAATCGGCGCCATCAGAAAAGTTCGAGATCAAATATGCGAAAGATACGGTAACACTGTCTTTGCAAACCCACATTATTTTCTATATTTTTCAGAATGAAGGTAGAATAAGTTTCAGTTTTTCCGTCATAGTCTGACATTCCACGACAAGATTCTACACTCAAAAAAATTGTAATATATGATAAAGTTGTAGGCAGCAAGCTTATTTTTTAGCTCTGAAATATTCATTTGTGTCATGATAAGATGGGTAAAAAAGCTAGAGAGAACGTATTATGAGACTCTCTGCTATGCATACCTTCAAGTCTACTATTTTATCCCACAGAAGAAGAGAAAAGGATCGAGAAGAGAAGTTTATTTTTATTTATGATTTCATTTTGCATTATTATTTCGTTATTATTTCATTATTTGTTTATGATCTGTATTTACACTTTGATCTGGCTATGTTAAGCGCGAGTCAGATAAGTATTTTCTACTGTTTTGTCTCCTTTTTGTGTTAAGCAAATGCTTTGTGCATTTTTTTCTTCTATTTTGTAGGTTAAGTTTCGCTTATCCGCAAGTAAAACATTAACATTAACAAAGTATTTACCGTTAATTCTCGAACAAATTTCTCTCAGTGAGGCACGTATGAAACAATTAATGAAGTCTGTTTGTTGGAAATCGTTTCTGTTATTGCGAGATATCGTATCGTTCTCTTTTTCTTCCGAAATCGACGTAACAGCAATCGAATAATTCAAAGGACTTCTAATAAAATATTTTCTATCCTTCGATCAGTCATTCGGAAATAGTAATCGGATTCGAAACATCATTTCTTGCTTCATCTCTTAGATCAAATGATATGTTTCAGACCATTACGGTTTACCTCATGCATGGCTTTTGAAAAAAAGTATAGTTTCTTCAAATCGACACGATACAAAAATTTCAAAAATATTTCATTAACTTTATGTCGACGTTATCAGTATTGGATAGCGACTCAAATGTATTCCTGCGATAATAGTTATTCTTATTCGTTTCTCTATAGCGGTCATGTTGTTAAGAAAGTCAGAGAAGTGGAATTTAAGTCAATTCCAGTACATCGAACGTTAGACGTCAATCAGTCAGTGTACGAAACCAATAAAGCAATCATGTTCGGTATTGTATATAATGTCGGTGATTTCGTGCTAGTGAATGATCGTTCGTTTCCATCAGATCCAGTTTTTGGTAAAATACAATCAATACTTGTACAACAACAACAAATATTATTGACATTAAAATTAGCCTTTAGTAGTACATATGAAAATAATATGGGTTGTCACGAAGTACACCTAATGGATTTTGATGTTATAAAGAACATTTATGAATTAAAATATGTTTGGCCAATCAGACATATAAAGATTGTTAATCATAATTACGTTTGTTTGTTTCCTTATGCTCGCACCAATCTTTTATAACAGTTATGATCAATTGTTTTTATTGTTTTTTGCTTTCTTTCGTCTTTTAATTTTTCTATCCAAATTGGAGCGCTATTCTTCTATGGTTCTTTTGCGTAGCTTATTCAGTCTAGTCGAACACACTGTCGACTTACTTTTTTATCTCGAGTTTGGACACTCGTGTTTCTCGCTCTTTTTCAGATATGTACGTATTAAATTCCAATGCTGACGACTATGACGATTTTCGACGAGATGAAAACCGATCGCCTGATGTGATGCCAAAAAGTACGGAACAAGAACAAGTTAGTGGGAAACGAAAAAGATTTATGGTATGCCTTGTCCTAAGTTTGTTGCTCTTTTTACAACGTTAGTCTTTCTATTCTAGGATAAACTTCGAGAATTACCATTGTTACCGATGCCACTCATTTTACCAGATCTGCCAATAAGAGTACAGACAGCTATTGCGAAAGGTCTATCGTTCATATTCTCCCTCTAAGCATGCTGTTTGAGAGTTTTCTTATCAACTGATACTCTAAAATCTGTCCTTAGCTGATTTATCTGTCTAGTATATCGTGACTTGTGTGTGAAAACCAGTCGTTTTTCGAAGCCGATTTGTTGATTTTCTTTCTGTTTATTAAGATCAAACGGAATCGGTTATTCAAGATATAGCGCGTGTGTATGCTGATTATCCGATTGCTTACAATGTTTCATCAAAAACTCATTATGAATTTATTCGAGATACATTCGCAAAACAATTCAAATTAACTGGACTACATCATTATACACTTCTTGTAAGTAAAAGTGATACGCGAAAAAGTAGGTTGTAATAATAGCTATCTACAATGTTCAGGACTTATTTAAACAAAAACTATCAAGACGGATCCGGGATCAACGTAATCGTGGTGGAGAAAGCCATTGTGCAAAAAAACTGAATTGGGACGATGGGCGCTATGCTGGATGGCTAAACGAGGAAACTGCTAGTTCAACGTCTATCGGTATTATTTAGAATGAAGACAATTTTCTTTCTTTCCAACAATCTTCCTGCGATGTTCAAACAAACTTTTTCTTCTTCTAGCTGATAGTCCTGATTTGAAAACATTGATTAAGCAATTAAATGATAATTATGAAAATGATGAAATGACTACTGGTAAAACAACTCAATTAGTTGTCGAATCAGTCGTTTAAGACGTGCATATTTAAATGAAAATGGTTTATCAATGCAACAAATCTTACCTAACTGGCAATTCACACAGGATTTACATTTTGTAAGTCAGCAGAGCAAAAAACATCAGCATTTTCTGCTTTACATGGGTCGCCAAGGAAAAGGAGATTCGATCAAAACGCTTTCGACGAGTTGTAAATGCGTAAAAAGGGTTATAGAATAAAAAAAACTGCGTATCGGAGTGTGTGTACTAGTTTTACATCCTGTTTACGTCTAGTGCTTTACTGCCATATTTTTAATAAGTACAGACCCTATGTACTTGAAGCTACAAACTGCGTAATTTATTCAAGTTCTAACTTAGATCAAACTCGAATTTCAATTAATATCCAAGATGTCGTTCAAAGATGCTGCAGATCAGTTAGACAAATGGTTACTACAGGCAGCTGCAAGTGAGATATATGGGCAACTAACGGATGAAACTGTGAGTTATCTGTTCAACGTTTCTCTCCTCGCTTTCTAGTTTATCATGTGTTGTCGTTTAGGCGTATGAAGAGCTTTTGGACCGGATAGTTGGTAGATTAGGAGGAAGGTATAAAAACGTTCTGAAATCTGAAAAAGTAAGAAACTGTAGAAAAACCTGTGTTCCAGCTTCTCCCTTGCTCATCCGTTTCTGTCTTGCTATAAAACTCATTTGGAAGAGCAAAGCAGTATAGAATCTGCAAGCTTCTCTTAGTGACAGAGTTATTATAGATTTTTTTCATTTAAGAACAGTAGTTCTCGTCTACATTTGACTTCTTATTCCTTACAATTCTTTAGTTCTTTTTTATTTGCATTTGCTTATGATTTATTTTGTTTTGGCTATATTTTTATCATTTATTTCAACCTTAAACTACCAAATTGAAGAATGCTTAGATACTCCAAGGTATTCTCTACATAAATCTGTTCTCGGATTTATTCTAGCTACTTTAGTTCACGAGAAAATTCAAAAATAAAAGGGGCTCTAAACTTTTGTCCACCACTTTAGAATCAGATAACTATTTTTATATTTTTTCCTTCGTAAGATGAAGGGTGCTTTGTGGATTTTTTTTTAATTTTTAGCTACACGATGGTGTTGGTGACGGCGAAACATTTGTTCAAAAAATACTGGCTTTGCTCGATCAAGGAAATCTTTGCCCGTTATTGTACAAATTTATGTATCGAAACGAAATTTATTGTTATATTACATTTACAAACGAAATTTTGCTCGATTTCAATGTCGATGATATCAAAACGTCGTTCGGCTTTATGTTAGCTACATTAGTAGTATTATTCTACACGTTTGATGTATAATATCCAAAGACATATAAGGCGCTATTTGAAATATTGGAACATTCTATGTTTAATAACACAAGAAAACCATCTACAGTTGGCGCACAAAATGTTATTATTGAATTTAATAAAAAAATAAAAGCTGTTTAAATAATGTTGGTCTTCTTGATCGCAATCGTACTTTGTTCCTCTACCACGCCTTTCCTCGAGTACTAATATTTTTTCTGTAACTAGAATATTTATATTTTTAAAATATTTAAATAAATATTTGTCAGAGACTGTAATTCGTCAGTTTGCCGTGCAGGTCTTCCGTAATTCTAACCATGGACATCCTTTGTGGATAGCCGCAGACAGCCTTCCCTTCCATATATACACAGAAAGAAGACGTACTGTAAGACCCAACAGAAAAAATCTCAAGCAAAAAAAAGCTTCCAACCACAGCTGGATTTAATCTTGTCCACAAATATGACGCATGTGTCGCAGTCGTAACCTAAGAAATGTGTCGCCAACCGCTCCCTGTGTCGCAGATTGTGTTGCCGTTTGCAACACATGCGACACATTATTTTTTAGAGTGCGGTGTTACATTAACATACGCTATTCCTTTGTAACAGCCGTCCTTCCAAAAAATAGAATTCAGTTCAGTTCTGTTCAAATGATTTCTTTTATATCAGATATTCTCACAAGAAAATTTTTCAGCATCACAGTACTGTAACATACAGATCAAAGAAGTGATCAAGGTGTGAATTCGACTAATGAATACAAAAAAGGTACTCTTGCAACGTTTGAGAATAATCAACATCATAGCCTATAAAAATCTTAAAGGTTTAATACATAAAATGTAATGGAGCTATCTTCTGCTTTTGGCAAAACTATTCTTTTGAAGTTTTTCTATGACACGATTTTGGAAACTTTTTCAAATTTATCTAAGAAAAAACTTTCTCAAAAATAAATAACAAGACAGACTGACATCCTTTTCACACTGTCCTTCTCTGATGTTTGTGCTTTTAACTGTCATCATTGAAAGATCAGAGCCAGTAAGCAACTCGGTGACCGTTCAGTTATCGCCGTTCATCGATTCTTCTCCTACGCTTGAAAAAACTATCCCGAAGAAAACCATCCGGATTTTTGTAGCTAGTGCCTTTGGGAAAACGATTTACTATGTGAGAAGCTGCGTGAACCTGTAGCTCACTCTCTTGTAACCTTTCTTCGTTTGAGCGCTATCGAAACGTGTTTTAAATTGAATACACTTTTTCTTTTTCTTCCGAAATTGTTTCGACATTACTCAAATTATGGGTCGTCAAAGTACGTTTTGAATAAGATAGAGAAATAAAATCAACAGTTACTGTCCCATGGCATAGTGGAGGGAGCAAATATATTCCTGGATATGTATCTGTACCCAAAAATAACAAAGCATTCTATCATGTTTCATCCAATCGTTACAAATGCGTGGCAGGAGTACATGGGACAGTATTCTTTCGGTCACAAAATCCACCGCGAATTACGTTCAAAATGTAATATGAGAGTAGATGAAGGTAAATAAGCGTAAGTCTTTCATTCTATACAAACTTGATCGCTGCGTTTTTCTCAAATTTTCCTCGAAAGCGAAACTACCGATAAATGCTATTCCCGATGTTTCCAGTAAAGTGTGCTTGTAACTGCCTGACCCCATACTAACGCTAAAAATGACGTCCAGATAACACACGTATCTCACAACGTAATTCAAGGAACTTTCTCTTGCAGTGAGACTTTCGTCTGAACTTTACATCATCAGTGCCAGAGTGATAGGAAACGCTTCACAGTGTACGACGGCCACATTCTGGAAAGAACAGCAGTGAACAGTCTGCTGCACTTGACGCATTCATTCCACTGTTCAACCACCTCAGTTCCTAGTTTCTTTTCAGAAACAGAACAAGCAGTACACCATCAGCTGACAACAATAATCAATGTGCAGAAATATCAATTTCAAAATAGTAAAATACTGTGATTCAGTTAGTTAGGAGTTCTACGAATCGCACAATTCGCAAGTCGACAATGAAAACCTATTCCTATCTCTACCACCTGTTACTAATACTTTCCCGGATGATAATAAAGTTGCAGTGTGTGCAGAACATGCTGATGACATGCTGGCGACTGGAGTCCACGTATTCGATGGGGGATCATACACTTCGCAACTCGACAAACAATTCGAATCCCAACCACCTGTTACTAATACTTTCCCGGATGATAATAAAGTTGCAGTGTGTGCACAACGTACTGATGACATGCTGGCGACTGGAGTCCACGTATTCGATGGGGGATCATACACTTCGCAACTCGACAAACAATTCGAATCCCAACCACCTGTTACTAATACTTTCCCGGATGATAATAAATTTGCAGTGTGACAGTAACGTGCTGATGACATGCTGGCGACTGGAGTCCACAAATATGATGGTATTAATGATGTTTTTGTAGAGGTGCGAATTGCTAGAAACAGAAGAAAGAGATGGGTGCTTGTCGATAAACGCACACGTATCCTGCACATCGGCTGTCACAATCCATACTAGCGCATTTGTGCTCCTGACAAGGAGCTGATTAGAAAACGATCGTATTCATTCGATAAGGGATCATACACTTCGCAACTCGACGAAGAATTCCCATCTATATAACCACCTGTTACTAATACTTTTCCGAATGATAATAAAGTTGCAGTGTGTGAATAACGTGCTGATGACATGCTGGCGACTGGAGTCCACGTATTCGATGGGGGATCATACACTTCGCAACTCGACAAACAATTCTTATTTACATTACCACCTGTTACTAATACTTTCCCGGATGATAATAAAGTTGCAGTGTGTTGACAACGTGCTGATGACATGCTGGCGACTGGAGTCCACGTATTCGATGGGGGATCATACACTTCGCAATTCGACAAAGAATTCCCAGCTGTACTATAACCACCTGTACTATAACCACCTGTTACTAATACTTTCCCGGATGATAATAAAGTTGCAGTGTGTTGACAACGTGCTGATGACATGCTGGCGACTGGAGTCCACGTATTCGATGGGGGATCATACACTTCGCAATTCGACAAAGAATTCCCAGCTGTACTATAACCACCTGTACTATAACCACCTGTTACTAATACTTTCCCGGATGATAATAAAGTTGCAGTGTGACATTGACGTGCTGATGACATGCTGGCGATTGGAGTCCACGTATTCGATGGGGGATCATACACTTCGCAATTCGACAAAGAATTCCCAGCTGTACCATTACCCCCTGTTACTAATACTTTCCCGGATGATAATAAAGTTGCAGTGTGACATTGATGTGCTGATGACATGCTGGCGATTGGAGGCCACGTATTCGATGGGGGATCATACACTTCGCAACTCGACAAACAATTCGAATCCCAACCACCTGTTACTAATACTTTCCCGGATAATAATAAAGTTGCAGTGTGTGCAGAACGTACTGATGACATGCTAGCGACTGGAGTCCACAAATATGATGGTATTAATGATGTTTTTGTAGACGTGCGAATTGCTAGAAACAGAAGAAAGAGATGGGTGCTTGTCGATAAACGCACACGTATCCTGCACATCGGCTGTCACAATCCATACTAGCGCATTTGTGCTCCTGACAAGGAGCTGATTAGAAAACGATGGTAGGATCTGCATGAACTGACCACGATGAGTGCGCCTTACTGCATTTAGTATACTTTAGTGTATCAAGTGTGGCGATTATTGTGTTCAGGTGGAAGCTCTCGAAGATATGCTGAAAAGGTAGCCTCCAATATGAGCAAAAATAATTTGAGGAAAACGACTGTTAGCAAAAGAAAATGAGCAAAAAATTAGTTAAGGAACAAGAGTTTGAACAAATGTAAGATGGGGAATCCGTTTTAAGCAACTAGAGAATGCGGGCATGGGCGGGCATGAGCAGACTTGAAAGGCACACGGACGGGCATGGACTGGCAACTGCTTTCCTTCGACGGGCACGGGTTTCTTAAAAAGATATTTTAAATGTTTTGAAAGGAAAGAAGAAGAAGAATACCTCATCTTTCGACTACCTTCGATGGGGGATCATACACTTCGCAACTCGACAAAGAATTCGAATCCCAATCGCGTGTTACTAATACTTTCCCGGATGATAATAAAGTTGCGGTGTGTAAATAACTTGCTGATGACATGCTGGCGACTGGAGTCCACAAATATGATGGTATTGATGATGTTTTTGTAGAGGTGCGAATTGCTGGAAACAGAAGAAAGAGGTGGGTGCTTGTCGATAAACGCACACGTATCCTGCACATCCGCTGTCACAATTCATACTGGCGCATTTGTTTTCCTGACAAGGAGCTGATTAGAAAACGATAGTATTGGATGATTGATCTGCATGAACTGACCACAATGAGTGCGTCTTACTGCATTTAGTATACTTTAGTGTATCAACTGTGGCGATTATTGTGTTCAAGTGGAAGCTCTTGAAGGCATGCTCGAAACGTAACCTTGAATATGAGCAAAAATAATTCGGGCAAAACGACTGTTAGCAAAAGAAGATGTGCAAAAACATTTTGGGCAAATTTATTTTCAGCAAAAAATTAGTTAAGCAACAAGAGTTTGAACGAATGGAAGATGGGGAATCCGTTTTAAGCAACTAGAGAATGCGGGCATAAACGGGCATGAGCAGACTTGAAAGACACACGGACGGGCATGGACCGGCAACTGCTTTCCTTCGACGGGCACGGGTTTCTTAAAAAGATATTTTAAATGTTTTGAAAGGAAAGAAGAAGAAGAATACCTCATCTTTCGGCTACCTTGCGATATAGGGTACTGTCCGAAGACAGTTTCGGAAGCTCGATATCTGGTTTAAGCTTTAATCTTGAATCAGAACGAAATCGAGAATATAAATTCCCATTATATCATTCTGAAACTTAAACTATCAAAACACAAAAAAAGCTACAACTAGCTGTAGCTCTGGACAGAAGCCAGCCTGACTCAGAGTTCTTTCGTTCAATCGCTTGAGCTCCCCGCGCACACTGACTAATCGCATAGTAGCTACGAGGACTGGTGTATGTCACAGCGTAGTCAGCATGTTAGTGGACGGGTGATCCGAGGCAAACAACCGTTAATGACTTGCCCAGGGTCATTCTATGTCTGGCTCTTTGCCCCAGGTCATTCTATGTCTCGAGCTCTCTTGCGCAGTACCTTGAGGGTACGTGCCAAACAACTTAATCACACAGCCATAGCGGTCTAAATGTTTTGAGCAGGAAAACGGTACGAAGGTTGGAATTTTTTGTGAATGAAATATAGACAGTTAGAGACATGCCACAGAAAGGATGCTATAATATACACGCGTGGACGAAAAAGCGTTTTTCATATACGGACTATTCATATACGAAAAAAATTCACGGACAGGCACGGCCAAGCACCGGCAGCGAGAAACATTCATGGACAGGCACGGACAAGCGTCTTCAGTAGGGTTACGGGTACGGATGGACACGGACAAAAAGGTCTTGCCGGTGCAGATCTCTATTAGCTAGCAAAAAATCCATTTCAACTTTTTAAATTGATTTAATTTCAACTCATTCATATCAACTACTGGGAAGGTTGAGTCTCTAGTTTTGTTTCAGCATCGTTTGCTTCCTTAAAATGATATGTCAACTTTCACTAAATGATGACGCATCGAGCAATACTTATCAACCGCTGGGAAAGATGGCTACAGTTCTATTATAAAAATGATACACGTATAATCCGTTACTCACCTTTTTGCTCATATTCCATTTCAGTCTTTTGCTAAAAATTGTTTTGCTCGAATTTTTTTTGCTCATATTCGATGTATTCGCTCGAAACTATGCTTGTGGGAATCGTTTCTATCTCTATACCCGCACAAAACATTAGACAAAAGATACGTAGATTTTGCTTTGATTTTAAAATTAAGAGAAGGTGTAAAACACTATGTAGAAGTGGGCGAAACTTCACTACTTGAGAAATATATTTGGGAGTTTTAAGAGCTGTTTCATTCTAATCAGTACTTCTAAACTTGTCTGTCCGATATAAAATTGTTCACAATCTTTAGAGAAGATTCTGAACAATTTTATTTTACCAAGATTATACATTATAGAACAACAATTTCACCCAGAAGATTGTGAACAATTTTATATCGGACAGACAAGTTTAGAAGTACCGATTAGAATAAAAACCGCACAAATTGGATGAACGCAGTATAGCCTTTCAAAGCTTCCAAATAAATTTCGCAAGTAATGAAGTTTATTACACTTATACCTAGTGTTTTACACTTTCTCTGGGCAAAAGATCGCCTCACATGAGTGTCGCCGGAAAGGTCGTGCAACAAGTCAAGATTTGTCAGAGAGGACAATTTCATACGAAGCTGGGCCAAATACCTACAAGAATCATCATTTTTGATATGGTCCTCATCGAAGACGCTATTATATCTATCTATTGATAAAGTTGAGCTGGGTATAATCACCACTTACCATCATCTTTCAGCTGTGCTTGTTCGGGGACATTTTCGCATACTCTGATCTTTTGAATCCAAGAAGGTTGTTGTTTATCCTCTTCAACAAAGAAGTTCGATGGTTTGATAAGTTCATCTTTTAGTTCTTTTAAAGCGGCCATCCATTTGCTGAGATCTCGTTCATCATAATCTTCATCATCTTGACCTTTACGAACTCTACTCGTCATCTTGCGAAATCTATCAATAAGCTCGGCCTTGTTTTTATCTAGCAATTTGACAACGTCAGTCCGACATTGATCAGCAAGCTGATTAACTTTATCGATTGAGTCTTTCTTCCATTGATCAATTTGTTTTAACAGACGATGAGAATCATTTTCATTTGGCGTTTCGAGCGGCTCTTTGAGCATATCGTGTTCGTAAACAACATTATCGAGTTCTTTCGACAAATCTTGACGATGATCATTGAAGCACCGTCTGCACAGTTTTGAGGAACAACCTTCACACGCGGTTATAGCGCTATTTTTCACACATTTTGTACATTGAACTTTTGATACAGTTGCCATTAAAACTAAATAAAATAGTCATGCTTTAATTGGGAAAAGACCCACTCTGTTTGAGTCTCGCATCATTGTTAACTATAAAAGACCTCTAAACGAGTAGTAAGAGGAAACAGCTCGAAAGTCAAAGCTTGTGTTTGTAATCTATCTAATGTATAACAAAAGTTTGTATCACTCACCAGTCACTTCAGATTGCAAAACGGATTCACTTTAAGTTATTTTCGACACTGGTTAAAAAGAGTTTACTATTTTGACAGAATCAAAAGAATTTTTTTTCCATCTATCTCAATGATGGTTGAGACGAGTGAAAAATCCTTTTTCTTTTTATTCTTTCTCACGTGTATATGGTGTGTAGTAAATAAAACATTAGCTTTTTCTTTTCTGTGCGTGTTACCATTCGTTTCCTTTATACACAAATACACTGAAAAGTAACGTGAGAGAGAGAGAGAGAGTGTAGAGTTGACAGAGTTAAGTAAACTAACATTTTCACATTCATATAATACAAAAAAGCTAGTGACTGTTGAATCTATATTTAAAGCACTTGTAACCGGAGCACATTTGGATATATAGAGGATATAGAATAATAAAACCATGCAGAAACATCGAGTCTTCCGGGAGAAAATATGAAGTTCTTCTGGGGAACATGAAGTTTTTGAGGAGAGAAGATGACGTTCTTGTGCAAAACAAAGGAAGAATTACTTTGACACCGTCTGATCCTTTTTTGCCATTTAAATTATGTAGACATCAGCTACATCTGTAAACCCTAATGCGTCCTATAACTCCCATAATTGTCAAACTTCTCAAAACTTTGATGCGTGACATAATTCTCACAATTCTAAACATCCTCAGAATGCTAAAAAATACTCAAAACTCTAATGCCTAACATAATTCTCAGAGTTCCCAAACATCTCAAAACTCTAATCCGTTACATAATTCTCAGAATTCTCAAACTTCACAGAAAACTCTGAACACTAACGCGTTACATAATTCAATCTCGCGTTACAGAAAAACGCCATTCTGTGGGTAAAGCCAATACTGACGTAGAATCCCCTAGCAACCGTTAATGGTTAATAAATTCGTAGTTATACCCTGAAAGAATTAACTGTCTGCTACGATTTTATCACTTAGACCAAATTTAGAGAAGCTTTCTTTCATTCAGAAAAAATGATTTTATTGTCGCTACGATACAACTGTATCCCTGATAATCCCCTTATTCTGACAAAAACTTGCTTTCAATGATATAAAAAAGACCGTGTAGTATGCACGGGTTCTCGCTAGTTTCAAGATAATTTTCGAAAAACGTTTCTAAACCATAGAAAATCCGCAGTTTTTGGCGTTTTTCTCTTTTGCTATGAATTGTGGAATCTTCATTTATATATTCAGATGCAGAATGAAATTCTGCGTCGAATGGCATATAATTCAATGCGTTTTAAAGAAAAGGTTTCACGTTTGTTGTAAAGGAGAGGTTTCACGTTTTTAGGAGGTGCGCTGACCGTTTTTGACAAGAGACCCCGAGTGTTCCCTCATTTCCTTAAAAATTCGACTACGATTCATGGTAGTACTCTGGGTCTGCTTCACGAAACCGCAGAGAGCCCTTCAAACGAACCATCTTCGGTTGCAAAATCTCTCTGCAAAACGACCGATGACGCTTTGCCTATGACTAAAGAATAAACTATTCAACTACATGAGATCAATAATACATTGTCTGTTACTAGTCGATCCAGCAGCTGAAAACACCAGATTTATATTGAAATTTGATCAATCACAATTTCAGTTATAAATTTTATACTTCAAACTTCCATCTCCTTCGGAGAACGGACGTGTCATTGGACGTTTTCACAAAATGCATGAAACTGAATAGGGAAAGATGAAAAGTATTTAGTAATAAATACTAACCGACAATCATAACAAAGCCAGCCAAAACTAAGCTGAATTCTAACAATTGAAAAATTCATTCATCATTTGTAAAGTTTGCATGGAATAAACAACTGGATATTATTCCCATTATGATAACTGGTAATGGAGGTGGACATATACATTAGTGTGGACAAAGTGTCTAAAGACGAATTGACGAATCGCAATTTTTGGGCGTAAAAATGATGCAACAATTCGCATTTTACCATTGTATTGCGAATTCGTAATTGAATGCGAAGTGATGCGAACTAACAAAAATGATCAAAAACGAACCAAAAAATTGCGTCTTTTCTTCCTTTTGCCAATTCGTAAATTAGGTCGAATTCGTAAGAAAGAAATTTCCAGTACGTACGAATTCGTAAATCGAATTGGTCGACCATCGACGAATTCGTGAAATGATCATTTTGGTCCCCAATAATTCGTGTACGAATTCGTAAATTGGCAAAAATACGATATAATGCGAATTTACGAATTCTATTTANAATAGATAGATTCGTCTCTTCTCATTGATTCGCATACTTCTCACCTCACTTCACCGTTATTTTTACGAATTCGTAGAATACGAATTGATCAGTTGAATGAATTAATCAAAAAATGTGACAATAAACGATATTAATACATGTATCTGTGCGAAACAAAATAGAGGGAAATCTCTCTCCCTTTTGTGTGCATGTGCCGAGTGGGGGGGGAGCAGTGAGGATGGCTGTGAGTATTTACACAACATGCCGCATTTTATGAATTCGTAAGAATAACGGCGAATGGGTTTGAGAAGTAGGCGAATCGATGAGAAGAGACTAATCTATCTATTTTTAACCTCAGAGAAATGTGTCCTATCCCTGACATCAATTCGTATTTTACGAATTCGTAAGAATAACAGCGAATTGGTCTGAGAAGTATGCGAATCGATGAGAAGAGACAAATCTATCTATTTTTAATCCCAGAGAAACGTGCCCTGTCCCTACGTAGCCTAATAAGCGTACACATCGATTCGCAATGAATTTGCAGAATGGGTTTGTCAGTTCGTGGATCCATTTTCAACCGGATCAGTTCGTAATACGAATTCGCTAATTCGTATTTACGAATCAATCTAGTTCCAAAAACAGTGAACACGAATTCATAAATTAATTTTACGAAATATTTGCGAATTGATCAGCATCGTGTTTGATCTATTCTCTGTTTATGAATTATTCTTGCGAATTCGTAAAAGTTTCTAACAGTATCCGTACGAATTCGATACAGTTCGCATCAATTCGGTACGAATTCGCAAAATAAGGGTAAAACGCGAATTGTTGCATCATTTTTACGCTTAAAAGTTGCGCTTCGTCAATTCGTCTTTA